AACATTTCGACTACATTGCTTTTATAGAAATACAAGCTTTCGCCCGCGACTCAATCCGTGTGGTATTAAAGATACAAAAGTACGTAGTCTATGAGTTTTTTCTAGACTATACTCTACATCTATGCTAAATGTCATCGTAGGCGTTAAAATCTAACAGACATCCATCCATTCAGCCATATTTTCGCATTTATTCTACGAGTATTAATAAAAATATACTAAAATGCGGTTTTATATATGAAAGAAAATTTTAAATGAAATCATGTAGTTATACTTTACAATATTTTGATAATTTAAATAGCAACATTTTGCGCAGATTTAAGTGGAAAAGATAGGTTGGCGGTGTTCCAAGCCGCGCGGCCGCGGACCCTGGCTCTTGTATTGTTGTACCACGACATTTAAACACTTCCTTTGCTAACCTGTTATTATGTAATCACTTTAAAATAAGATAAAATTTAGAGATAAATTAAATTACTAACAAAAAACTAAATAATTATTTTTATCACGAAACCATATAAAACATAAAATGGATTTGGAGAGTTCACATGTCCTCGTGGATTACATTTAAAGTAAAAATGAAATTTATACATCTATCTACAATTTCTTATTCACTTAAATAATTGTTTATTACTAAAATATGTAAATTCGGTGATTATAAATAGTAGTTTATTTACTTTGTTAGTTTGAAACTTGGTTTGAATAATACCTCGCCTGGAGCTGGAGCGAAGCAACTTTTAATTATTCAGTTTATCTATTTTGTATGAAAGTCGAAGTTCAAGTCGGCAATTCAGATTTAGTAACGTGTTGTATTTTAAATTTATTATTTGTTATATGTGAGGTCGATTCACTTCTCAAATAGACAGACAAAAACTATCTCTCGTCATGTCAGTAAAAAACAAAGACAACGATATACGGCACCCGAAAAACGTAGTTACAGTAAAACTTTTGTTGATTACTGAATACAGATGGTAGATATTTCCGTTGCTTTATAGTTGAAAACTATATTTTATTAATCTCTGGATCTGGAAAAATTCTATTTCCATAAACAAGTTGGTTTCGATAACAAATTTAAAATCATCGAAACACAAACGTTGGAGTATTTGTGTGGAGAGCGTGCTTGACACAGTTGCGACCTCTGCTGGAAATTATTAATGATTTCAAACATTACTCCATTGGATTTGCTATAGAGAAATATACTCAACATTTTGTTAATTTATTTAATTTTTTAGTAGCATTTTAATTTGTATTCTGATATGTTTAAGTCATGTTTACTATTAAATACCATGTTTTTACTTGAAAAGTGTTTATTACCGACATTTATTTCACATATTTTTTGTGTTACACTTTGGTAAGACCTAAAGTATTATCTATTGTAATAGTTTGCTAGACTCATTTTGTACAGTGAAATCCTATCTTCAACAGTTTAATTTAAATGACATTGTATAGTACTCTTTTCCTTAAAGTACTCAATTCATCATAAAAGAAGACACGCAGCCATTTAATGCAAAATGGTGAGTGTCGAACGTGCTGGGTTTAAATCTCCTTAAGTGAACAAACAGCCGCCGGAAGCGGAAGCCGGGGATTACTTCCCTTAGTTCCGCGGATTGAGCACAGCTTCCGCTACAATAATAAGAAACATTCCTTCAACTAGTTATTGTAACTACTAATTGTATACGCAAAATACTAATTTTCTAAACAATGAATTTGATGAACAAATTAAATTTAAATTGTCAAATGTGTTTTCCAGTTCAATTTGTATGTTCAAAAAGAGAATTAATATACTTTGAAAGCATAAAACGAGCTGAATGTATTATATTTCAGAACGTGAAGTTCTTAATCCGGCTAATTATTTCGAACGAGTTCAAGTAAAAGTGGATTGACGGATGTCTGTGGAAGAGAATTGAATAGCGTAAAGGATATGCGGGAAAAATCACTTTGAAAGGAATTCCTCAAATTTGATCAAAGTAAACAAGCCACTCCGCGATATAAGCCTTGCGCAATAAAAAAGGTTCAAGTGTACTTTCCTCGAGAGCCTTCGGAGTGCGAGCCAAACCGGATGTGCGATCGACAAATTTACATTTTTTTTCTTTTACGGAATTCATTGTGACCTAAATTTTATATTTAATCAAGAATTGTTATAGACATTGCCAAATTCACTTACACTAAATAATTCAATTTACACTGACTTACATTAAGTGTACACATAAGTATGTATAATTAGTCTCTAAAGCGTGTTTAAAATAGTATTTTTTTTTTAATATCTCTAAAGTTTTACATTACAGTGTCACAAAAAAAAGCACAGCGGTGTCTTTATTCGTAAAAGATTACAATAGATTTACTTCTAAATAACTACAGTTCAACATAGAAAATTTAAAAAACTTGCATAGATTGTATTTTTATTAGAGGAACGACACAACTAAAACAATACTAAATTTCAAGTAATTTGTTTTTGGATATGATATCTTTAAATTGTTTCAATGAATGAAATTATTATAATTGCATAGAATAGTGAGATGGCAGTTTTATCTTTGGTAGAGCAGCGACTGGATTAGATCCTTATGCATTATTCATTCCACTTAGCCCGCATTGTCCATGAATCTCCTACAGGACTGTTGCACCACTACTGTATCTAAATTTTAAATTACTTCCACAGATCATTTCTAAGCTGATTTGGTCTATCGTTGTCTGGAATGAACCTAGCACTAACTTTTTAACTACAACTTACGTATCTTCTAAATTAACTATCAATAAGAATGTAAATTCTACGCTTTAAAAGGTTCTTGAATTAATAAATCGAATATCTGTTCTCTATTGTTTTGAAGATGTTCTTAAAGCAATTAAATATTTGGTGGAGAAATTGTATTGTCTTAGTTGTATTGATTAAAGTTGGGAAATTAAATAAATCTTGACTATGATTTAGAAGTTACAAATGTGTATAAATATTATGTATTTTTGTTACTTTGATTGCAAGACGATTAGCACTTGGGCACATAGATCTCTATAAATGGACAGGTCAATGTATTTTTTAGTTTTTGTTCTGTTCGGATTTAAACTTACCTGTTGTTAAGGGCAGTTAATTCTAGCAACCGGTACAATATGATATTTACATTAAAAATGGGGAAAAGTGAAACACAAATATTCAACCACGCATACCATTTTATTGAGTAGATTGTGATAGCTATGCCCTTCTCTATATCAATTAAACGTTAATTGACAATAAAGTTATCCTTACGTATAAGGGTACAAAAATAAAATATAAAAAAACAATTATTATCTACACTTTCTAAAAAAAAGTCCTGAAGGTGGTTTACTAGGAATTTAAGTATCAAATTCATGGTTTTTTATAATAAATAAATTATAATTTCATTACAAATGTTTGCTTATTTAAATTACAATTAATTTGCTTTATGCAGATAGACGTAAAATATAATAATATGTATTGTTTCATTAAAATGAAACCAATCAGACTATATCTGTGAATACAATTTATTTAAATAATTCCACTCAACAATTTTATAAATAAAATTTGAGCTAAAATATAGTACTTTAATAACAAAATGTAGATATTATGAAAATTCAATTCAGTTAAGCTCATGTTTACAACACAATTACATTAGTACCGCTATATATTCAATAATTTAAAATTTGGGATATAATTCAATATGCAAACAATATTAGTTTGAATTTAATTCTAACTACATTTAATTACATATGCTAGTATGTATGTGTGATCGGGAGTGGTACCGAACTCTAGCACCATACATTTACCTCTTTCTTTTTTAAACATAATGAGTGAGAAAACAACATTATTGTACAAGAGTTTGTGGGACTCCGACGATAACATACAAGGAACTGGTACAAAAGCTGTCACCCAATGTGTCATTAGACGAAATGTTATCTCTATATTAACATTTAATAATTAAAAACTCGCTGAAATAAGAAAACCAAATGTTTAAGCTTTAATTTTTACAATAGAAAATCTAGTACACAATGTTATTTTTTACTATATCTAGACAAGTTTTATAAGTTCTATCTACCCCTATTACACATCCTATCAGTCTGATAATACACTACTCAGTATATCTAGTTTATTTACACGCGTTTTTATATACTAGGATAATCAAATTTTATATAATTAAGAATGTAACGTTTATTTTACAATATGGTCGAGCCTTTGGTTTATTATGTTTTATTTTCGATGTTCTGTTACTTAACATGCTTAACTTGGGTAAGTTGTGGCTAGCACTTACTACCACGTTCTTACTAAGTAAAAGAATGAAAAAACTGATTGTAACAAACAAAATCTTTGGTATTTTTATTCACTTGTGCGTTATTTTCACATTTCAAATGTTTCTATTGTAATAAATCTCTTACAGATTTAGGAAAACATAGCTAGGGTTTTTACTTAATTTACCATTGCAGTGTAAAATACACGGTTCAAATGAAAATATACATTTGTAAAAAACGACGCACAAAGGCTGATGTTATACATTTTAATTTAAAATCAATAGATTCCAGCCATGTTCGGTTTGGCAAATCTAACTTGTATACGTAATGTAGATAATTTGAAACTATATTTTTGTGCTTAACAAAGCGCAGCAATGTTTGGCTGTTGTTCAAACACCGCAGGCTCTATGCATTATTCTCAACCGTCACCCCGCTCTGTCCCCACGTTGGGACATGAGAATGAAAACTTTCATCCTATACACCTTTTGCGACGAGAGGACAATTAGAACTTATTTTATATCTTAATGGTCCCATCCGTCACCTTATTGGTGATAGTGGGACTAAAAGACGGGACGGATGTAACTTTTAATCTCAACTGTCCCCATGTGGTGACAAAGCGGGATGACGGTTGGGAATAATCCCTCTATAACAAAATTTGAGTATTTATTGTGTCACAAAGATTCACCTAAACTATTTTGGCATGAACATAAATTAAATACATGGTTCTTTGGTAGATTCTCTTAGGATGTAATTAGGCAGTATTAAAATAACTCATAGAAATGATTACAGATTTATTAGCATTATATGTACAATATTTAATCTAAACTTAATGTAAACTTCACGACATAAGTCAATGTAAGTAAATTGTCAGTGTACACAGTATGATCACTATACAAGTGTGGTCTTTAGCGCGGGCGCACTAAAGGCGGGTTATGCACTAAATAGTCTTAGTCACGATGCTGCTGTCGCTGGCGCTGGAGCTGTCCTCCGAGCGCTGGCTCTTCAGCTCCTATACAAGATTGCAGTAAAGTAACAGACTAGTGAATACAGTCAGAATATTGTCAGTATTTAGATTTGATAGCTCGACATTAAAAGTGAAATTCCACTTTAAAATATTAATTACTAGCTTTCGCCCGCGACTTCGTGACGTGGTATAAAAAAAACAAACGTAAGTAGCTTACGTGTTCTTCCAGACTATGCTCACAGCTATATTCAATTTCATCGTGTTTCGTTCAGCCGTTTCGGCTAACTCTAACAAATATCCATCCATTTAAACTTTCGCATTTATAATATTAGTATGATTCAGTAGAACGAGTGATTCGATTCAAATTAGAATTACATTTATCTGAAGGCAAGTAGATATGTATTTGGCGTGAGATCGACGACACATTGCAGCTGAGTGCGAGCCGCTCCGATATCACACGGTAAACTTTTAATGACTGCGTTCGCTTCTCCCATCACATGACAGCTTTCCTCCTGATATCATATCTACTTGTATATGTTATTCCAACATAAATTATCTTGTACGACTTGAAAAGTATATCAGCTAGATATTGTGTTTGGAAATCATTATTTGCAGTTTAATTCCAATCATCTATATCTCATCATCTAAACTAATATTATAAAGAGGAAATATTATTGTTTTTTGATTATTGTATATTTGTATGCATTGAAACTCGAAAATTACTGGACCGAATTCAAAAATTCTTGCACTATTAAAAAATACATCACCAGTGAGTAACATAGGCTATATTTTTTGATTTCACGTGGAAGAAGTCGCGAGCAACAGCTATCTTACTAATATTATAAATGCGAAAGTTTTGATGGATGGATGTTTGTTAGAGTTTGTAGCCTAGACTGAACGAATCTTTATAAAATTTGGCATATGTAGAGGATAGTTTGGAAGAGATCATAGGCCCCCTTTTGTTTATTTTTGATTCCACGCAGACGGAGTGGCGGGCGAAAGCTAGTCATGTATAGTATGTTAGTATAGTTACGTTGGAGACGAGGAGGCGCTGCACGACGATCTCCAGGCGGTCCCCGGCCGCGGCGATGAGCGGCACCGTCAGGCAGCAGTCGTACTCCACGGTGCGCGTGCCGTTCACCTTCACACAACGCATCTCACTTCACTAATCAATTTAATATAACAAGACCACTTTGGGAAGAAAATGATTAAAAGTAAAATATTAGGTTCGTGTAAATCCAGAGCGTCGGTAAAAAGCCGAAGGTTTCGGTGAGTTCCACGGAGATCCCGGAACCTTTTTCTATTGCTGCACCGAGGGGGTTTTAGTGGGTACAAAACTCACATAACCCTGTCTTCTCCCCAGAAGGAAGGGTATCTAGTACACGTATAGTGAGGTGGCGCTGATGACGATGTCCCAGCAGATCACCTGCAGGATCCTGTCGTAGGGGCGCAGTAGGCCGACGATGTCGGCGGGCCCGCCCTGTCGGATGCGGTTGATGTAGACGCCGCGCTCGTACAGCCCGTCCGACACCGAGAAGCCGTAGTCGTCGTAGATGGCGTCCTTGTACAGGATCACGTGGTGCACCGAGCCGCGCGCGCCACGCTCGCCCCGCTCGCCTGCACCACGCACAACCTCACTGCACTCGACTGTTGGCCACTCTTTATTCCATTAATAATAAATTCAAATTTCCAAAATCTTAAAAAAAAGAAATTGCATTCATTATTTTTGTAGTAAATCGAAACCGTACAAGGAAACATTTTATTTGTAACGTACATTTTAAAAATAGATTTACGTGCTTCGCAATGACAGAAAATATAATGAGGATGGCTAGATGTTGGAAAGTAACTGTTCAAAAGTACATTGAAGTTTGTGTCGGCGGCGACGCGACGGCGACGGGGCCGCAACAAAGGTGAATATTTATAACTTACTTTTCAGTCGTGACAATTTCGAGCTTCTCAGTAGGAACGACACAAAGACAGAATTTTTCAAAAGATTTCAACTATTTCATTTACGGAAGATTTATTCCGACTTTTGCTTATATTTATAGATGGTAATTAACGGAATCAAAGATATTTAGCGGGTTTTTAATAGGTGAGCTGCGGCCGTACTTACCTGAAACATCGTTTTCATAGATGGGGCTGGTGGAGAAGGCGGCGTGCAGCGGCGAGTGGCGCGCGGTGAGCGAGTAGATGCCGGCGGCGCAGGGGCCCATGGGCACGTAGTCGCAGCGGCACGGCGCCGCGCAGCGCAGCTCGCAGCGCTTCATGTTGGAGGTGAGCACCTCGATCTGGCGCACGTCGTCCTCGCGCGTGCGGCCGCGGCCGGGCTCGGGCGCGATGCGCGTGTTCTCGTAGTGGAAGGTCTGCAGCGAGTTGTGCAGCGAGTAGTCGGGCAGCGGCAGGTCGCCGCAGAACCCCAGCAGCTTGTCTTCGTCCGTCGGCGAGTACGGCTGCTTCTCTATTCTGCTCTTGTCCGGAACTGCGTATTCGATTACCTCCGAATTACCTGCAAATTGGACGTAATCTTCGTGAGTAAAATATGAAGTTTCTTCGTCTATATCGGGGCAGTGAAATACTCGATCGGAATAAATAAATAGCTTCTAGTGCTAGAGTAAATTATCATAATGATCGACGAGAGTTGCAAATTGAACGATATCAAATAGTTTCTGATTCGTCAATTGATTAGGACGATAACAAACTATAAGAAAAAGGAAGGACACTGATTTTTAATCTTACTGTTTCTAGTTACTTTGTTAAGAAACATAAGCATTGTATAATAATTTTAGTATCGCGTAAGTTACCGCAGTTGGCGCTGGTCCTGACTGGCGTGGTCTGATCCCAGGACTCGACGGCGCTGTCGTTAGACAATCCGGGGCTGGAGGTGGAGTGGCTGGAGTCTCTTGCACTCGTTTCTGCACTTTCCAAGGGACCTTTATTCATTCAAAATATAATGTAACTCACAAGTTATGCATGAGTTACAGAAACTGCGTTGGACAACGAAGTTGGAACCAGAATTAAATTGGAGGTTAGACTAGTGATAAGTGGCAGCAAGAGGCAGCAAGGTACCGGCAAGTTTCCTGGCGAGCTGCAGCTGCACGCGCGGGCCGCTCTGCTGCAGCAGCTTGATGGCCTCCGACAGCGGCTTGTTGAGGACGCTCTCGCCATTGATGCTCAGCAGCTCGTCGCCTATCGACAACTTACCGCATTTCTCCGCTAAACCACCTGGAGTCAAAATGTTGAAATTTTTCTCAAAAAATCTTCGCTTTGCTAAGAACTTAAACATATATGTTTGTTAAAATTTATAAATAGTATCGTTTACAGTACTTCTTAAATTAAATTAATGAATACCATTTCCGAGCTACGTAACCTGAATTTTTCTCTGTTGATACTTAGTTCAATCTAACATTTGTGAAACGCTAGGTTCGCTAGGTAATAATAAAAAAACGGAAACTTCAGAAACGCAGCATTAAAAGAATTTAACCTTCTACGAGACCACTCAGTAAAATGGGCTGCGTGACGTCCTCGCTGCCGGCTATGGTGAGGCCGAGCGGGCCGAGCTCGTGTCGCACGAGCTCGACGAGCAGCAGCGCGGGGCCAGCGTCGCTGCAGCTGGCGTGGCTGCGGTCGCTTTCTTTGGCGCTGTTGTTGGGGCTGTCGGAGTGGTGGCCGGAGTCCTCTCCGCTGTGGACCATCGCCTTCGTCTCGATGTTGCTGAAGCTTTGCAACGTCAGCTTCGGATTGTGTTTATGAACGTTTGCCCAATCTTCTGGATCTCGTTTTCTTATTTTCAATGTTATTATGTCGTCGGGCGAGTTTTGAAGGATATTGAATGCTGTGTCCTAAAACGAAAATCAAAATATTTAACATTTCTTTTATTATAACTGAAAATTTGGTCAATTTACAAAAAAATAGATGTTTTTCTGTATTTACAATTATACTGTTCTAATTCTACGAGGGATAAAATCACTTTTATGCAAATCGTTGAGTTGGGGACACATGATTAACCCTTAAATACATGATATTTCTTTTTAAATACCATAAATTGAAACAGGCAGTAAATTGAACATAGATAAAGAGAAAAATAAAGATTTTTTTCAAAATAATCTATTGGGTGTGAAAGAGAAGACTGATGTATAAATGCTTTTAAGGGTTAAATAATCGAGTGAATATTTACCAGGGACAGGTTGTGCAGCGGCTGCCCGTTGATGGCCAGCAGCTGGTCGCCGGCGGCCAACGCGCCGCTGCGGTGCGCCGCAGAGCCCGCCTTTATCTCCGAGATCATCATTGGTTCCTCGTTGCTTAACAACTTTTGCTTGCAACCTAAAAATATAACGTATTCCTGTGAATGTACTAAGGGGTAAAAGATCTTTTAAAATGAGTATAATTACCAGTGATGGTTATACCGAGGCCTGCAGACATCTTCGCCAGTTTGACATTAAAGACGCCGCTGGAGGCCTCGATGGTGTTGGGCATACTGAACTCCACGTTCAATGTTAAGTATTTAGGATTGTGCGAGTCGTTTCTCCTCTGCAAGATTTCATTCGCTACTTCCAGAGTTAGATTCTCGTGGCCGTTGATGGACATGACGCGGTCTCGCGGCTGCAGGCAGCCTGACCTGGAATTGTTCAACATTTGTGAAAAACAGAAGAAAAATGCCGCAACACTAGATCATTGGCATACGCTCCGTCCCTCTGACATCTGTCATATCATTTAGGATAAGTATATAGCGCACTATTCCGGCGGAAGTGGTATTTTTTTATAAAACAAGTATTTTTTGTTAATTGTCTTTTATTTCCCTTAACCAGTCCAACCAAGCTCTGGACTTGTGCTAGAATATGATTCACAATAATCGAATGGCGGGATTCGAACCCTCGACTGCAAGATCGGTAGTACGTACCCGAAACCATTAGGCTATTAGCGGTCTGAGTGTTTATGTTTGTGAAATAAATTACTCTGTTACAATCACATTAATGTGTGAAAGTATAAACCTGGTATGAAAAGGGAGTGAAATGATGTAAGTAGGTGTGTGGGTGTGTGACCTGTAGGCGGGCGAGTGCGGCTGCACGTGCGCGATGCGGAGGTGTGCGGCGTGCTGCGCCAGCGCCAGCCCGCTGCTGTGGCCGGGCGGTACCTCCAGCTGCACGCTCAGCGCCTCCGTGCGGCACACCCCCGCCCCCGCCCCCGACCCCGCACCCATGTACCTCTGCTCCTCCTCTGAACAATTACATTCTCTATAGGGATGCGAGAACGTAGAAGACGCAAGAGTTACTCAATTTTGGAGAACTGACAGCTAACCCTGGCTAGTGAAAGAGCCACCAGAAGGGGACTTTAAGAAATACGTGTCCGCTTTTTCTGTATGTTTCATTCACCGTTAGAGTTTTTAAACGTAAGAGATAGCTAAGCAACCTCCGCCAGTTGGAGGGGCACCTTAAGAAGTAAAAGAGGAGAATAAGATATAAGTGTCTTCTTCTGTACGTTCCCTCCGCCCTCCATTAGAGGCAGAAAAGGCATTTGCAACTTTTTAATTGTCTATAGATAAATGTAATTCCGCTATTTTACTGAATTTTGATAGCCCCTTGCTCAGTTGCCACCTTCTACTATAAAAAATTAATTACCATCAAACAAGGTCCAATGTAAATACATTACATTGTTTGGACCCAAACTAGTAAACTAGTTACAAGAATTAACTAGGAGACAATAGTCCTAAACAAATATTGGCCCCGACCTTAATACAAAGATCCCTCGTTTGTTGGATAGAGAAAAATATTTGGCCCGCGTCACATAAGTATGTGCGGTGTAACATTTGCTAATGGAAATTAAGTAAAGTTAGGAGAATGTAAAATAGTTATATGGTATTTAAGATTAAATTTTAGCAACGACATAATTATAATTACCGTAGTCCTCCTGCGAGCCTAGCTTCGGCATCGAGCTTTGTCTGTAGTTCCTTTGACGTTTTTTGGTGTTGAGTGTCGACGCTCCTGATATGGAGTTCTCTGAAGCAAAGAATTTAGGTTGAGTTCGTCAAGTTAACCTCAATGTTAATAAGGAGCACGAGGTAAAGATCAAACGCCGCACCGCGCACTGGCAATATACATATGTATACGAGAATGTAAGGGGGGAATTTATAAATTTAAGCTATAATCTACTTTTTGTGTTTTTATTGAATTACTCTTAATATGACATTTTATGTATTAAATGAATTATTTGGTCATTAATTTCAATTTTTGTCTCTCAATGCAATGTGAAATGGTTTTGTCGCAGGGCTATTGTCCACTCTGGCAGGATGTTCCCTATTGTCTTGCCTTAGTCACTGCTATTTGCATTAAAGAATTTCTAATTATTGCGCTGCAATTGCTTTAAATACCTATACCCCTGACATTTTTAAAATAAATAGGAATGAGAGAGGATGCTTGGAAAAACGAACATAAAATTCAAAATTTTGTATGTGTGTGTTTTTATTAAAGAAATAATTTAAAAAAATGGTGTGATTGCTGACATCTTACGCCACAAAGCAGTGTGTGCACGTTACATCAATAGGTACCTCTGGCGGGCGTGTGCGCGAGCAAGTGGCGCGGCGCGACGTGCAGACGCGAGCAGCCGGCCTCGCAGCGCTCCAGGTAGCACATCACCTCCTCCGCCGTGTAGCTGTTGCCCTCCACCACGTGGTCGTCGAACGCCAGCAGCTGGTCGCCCGGCTGCAGCGCGCCGCACCTGCACCACACTGCTGTTGCGTGCTCTGCCTCTCCTCCTCCCTCACATACTATATATATGACCTTTTAACTACTCATATTTAATTACCTATTGACCTTGTAACCTTTCTCCCGAGGCTTCTTCCGCGTGAAATAAAAACTAAATAGTGAGTAGCCTCTGTGTTCTATCAGGCTATCCTCCACATCTATGCGTATTATTCGTCGATATTCTTTCAGCCGTTTAGGCTACAAACTCTAACAAAGTTCCCATACATCTAAACTTTCGCATTTATAATATTAGTAAGAAAAGATTGCTTCTCTTTTATTCGTTGTGTCTTAATGTTACGAAAATAGATGGTTTGTAATGTTTGCGGTTCTAGGTTACAACTGTGGAACAACCTATTCGCATGATTTCAAATAATAAGGTATTGTAAAATCCCATTTGTCCTGTTGTAACGTGTATCTCACCTGTCGCTGATGCTGGCGGGCAGGATGCTGTCGATGAAGATGGCACCGCCGCCGCCGCCGCCGAGCCGCTGGTAGGTATCGGAGGCGGAGCTGTAGAGGTCGTCGCCGCGCTGGTTTACGAGGAAGAGGCCGAGGTCCTCGTTGCAGGGCCGCTCTATCTCTATGAGCAAAGGCCCCGTCGCCAGCTTCACCGACTCCATGATGGACACGTCATACTCTATGGTGAGGCTCGTCACCTGTGGACAGTTCTGCAGGATCTGGTGCACCTCCGACAGCGTCTTGTTCGTTAGTGATATCTGGAAATAAATGAAAGAATCAAATATGTGGTATAGTTTCTGTTGGTTGAAATTGTTTTTGAAAAAAGTACAAACTACAGATAGGCTCTAAAATAAAATTTTCTAACAATTCCATTCTTCTGGTATTGTTTAATTTTCAGTTAGAAAATTTATTGCAAATTGAAATTTTCCTGTGTCACAAGTCAACAGTTAAGTATGTGATTTACTGTTTGTGACACAAAAATACATCGTAAATAAGCAAGTTTTATTAAGTTCAGTTAAGTACGAGATGTTGTAAACAAAACAACAAAACTTTAACGTTTTACTGCCGTTCCGTATTACTTAGATTTACATATCCAATTTGTGAAGCAAAATTCTGAACATATAAAAATAATTGATTACACATTATAATAATAACCGTAACTTATAAATATATTCATAATTACTTAGATATAGGTTATGATTCTGCTGAAAATATCACTAAAACGTAAACTAACGTTTAAGCGTCACAATCCTCACTATTGATCTTGGATTAGCATTTGCAAGTGACTTTATCATTCAGAAAATAATTCCTATAATCAACAACAATTCCTATTGGTTATATTCAGAATACTTAACGTTGACTTACATGATCCACTTTCAGCAGTCTATCGCCGGGTTTGATCCTGGAGGTGTGGTAGGCGGCGCCGCCCGGCCTCACGTGCGTCACCACCAGCGGCAGCGCGTCCAGGGACCGGCTGTTCAGCACCAGGTCCGCACTCTGCGCCGAGTTCTCCGGCAGACCGCCGCGTATCGTCACCCCCAGGGACCCATTCACTTTCTCCACGGGTACCTCAGCTACTTTCGTCGTTATGTACAGGGAATTTTGTGATGCTAAAAATAAAAGAAAGTAGGAATAATGATATGATTTATTTATACTGGTCATTAATTAATATAGATCTACAAAGGTAAAATGACCTGAGGGGCTAATTAAATAGGGTAGTACGCACCGTAATTGGGCATGTAGTACTCGACCTCTAGGGAGGCGCGTTCCTCCACATTGTCGAGTAATCGCAGCAATTCGTCGTTGGTGAGGCGCGCAGTAGATATGCCATTGACGCTGCATATCCGGTCTCCCGGCGCCAACCGGTCCGACTCCTGCGCTACGGAGTCCTTCGTGAAGCCCACGATACTAGGCACTACGCCCGGCTCCGAGCGACCTGACAATACATATGAGAATTAATTACATTACAGAATATGTACCACTTATATAAAAATTACACAAACCCCTAGCCTCCTACATCAAATAATCAACGGAACACAGAGGGCGGTAGTGGGCCGGCGGCACATGACTATAAACGCGCCGCAACATAAATAACAAACCTACGAAACTAATTTAAACTTCGCGCTAGTTATCACGCGATAACGTTTGTATATAATTCAGAATAAATTGTTAAAGCTGAATATTTTGTTCATAAGTTATTACTTAACGTCGGCTCGGAGCAATAAATTTATAGTTATGACTAAAATATTTTACCAATTTGTATTTAATTGTAATAAACTGTTGAAAACGGATTCCATTATAATAGTCGAACAGCAAGTAATAGTCCCAAGTAACACGAATTTAACAGATGACTGCCATTTTGTGCTACGGATACGTCACTAGACTTTTAAGAGTGACAGACTAATTGCTACACCTGGTTAGACACTAATTAGTTCATATTACTAAAAAAAGTCCTTTACACACCAATACAAAACAAACAAGGTGTGACATATTTGCTCACGAGTAGCTCGCAGCTCGCAGACCGGGTGTGGACAAACAGTTAGTAATTAATTCATCGGTAAACAAAATTGTAATATTCACTTTCCAAACATCCGAGGAATTGGCTTTGCAACAGTCGATCCACATTTCCATTTCATTAGTTTTCAATGTTTATTCCTCATTTACATATTCAAATGTTGACGGATGCTTAACATTTGATGTCGAATGAAGAGGGGGGGGGGGCTTTGAAAAGTACCGCCTCCTCCCTGATGTTTCTATTTAATGGAACTCTGTTCACCTATCTATAGAATAACTTAACCTAAATGAGGACTGAAAGTTAGAGGTTAAGCTCTAATTCTACAGAATATGAGAATTTCGACTTTTTGATTGCAAATTATGTTGTGGAAAACTTCAAGAAGACGTGCTGAATTAAAACTAGTACCATTGATAATATCTTTATTTGTTGATTAACACACACTAGACACAAAAATTGGTAATGTTGCATTGTTAAGATATAAATGTTGTTACATTGCTCGCTTCACGTCACGCACTCTCGTGAAAAAAAAAGTGAGTAACCTGTGTGTTCTTCCAAACTATCCTCTACATTTATGCCAAATTTCATTGAGGTTCGTTCAGTTGTCTATTCTACAAACGCTAACAAACATCCATCCATCTATCGTTACTTTCACTTTTATAATATTAGTAAGATTAGTAAGATATAATAATAATATATGATGAATGAATAAAAATATGTTTACAATTGTTGTCAGCGCCATCTATTATCAATTAATGTTTAACTACGCGCTGTCTGTAATATTTTTTTAGTGTGGAGTAAAAAGAAGCAAACTTTTACCATAACGGCATGAAAATGATTTTATATAACTTATCATTAAAGTAATATTTTGAAACATTAATTAAGAAACCTCAGATAACTACAAAGTTAGACTTAAAACATTAAAGTTTTGAAATATCTAAGTACAGTTGAAGTTTAGTGAATAGGATCTTTGATACAATAGCTCGAAGAATTTCAAACTCTCGCTCCAAACTTGGCGTATTGTTTTGCTTCGACACCGTGAGTGGCATTGTGCCACGCGACGGAATCTTTACAATAACACCTACGTTAGAAAACACTTACATGGGATTTAAATTCGAGTAATAACTTATATGAACGTTATTTTTTGCTTGCTTTTAACATTTCTATACTAAAAATATAGAACAATACGAATAGAAAACTTTTATACAAAGAAAATAATATTTTCTAAAACAAGCAAATGCAAACGAATAACGTAGAAATATGTTTCGTTCATAATTTAACCCGTTCATTGTGCGAGTATCTAATGATATGCAAATGAGGCGCGGTCCATGTGCAAAATGCTCCATTACAACATTTTGGCGAAGCTTTCTCAAATATATTTTCTTACTTTATGTTATCATAACAGTTTCATGAAACTTATGCTTTGAAAACTATGAGTTAATGAATGATGCGAAGGAAGAGTAATATGTGGTAAGTGAAAATTTGAAATTTATTTATGCACACAACTTTGTATACGGAAATGAGAATATTTAGGTTGATTCTACACGTCTTTTTAACATTTGACGCTTAAGTTAACTATCACCTACTTATCTAGTGAATGACGTAAGTTAACTATCTTCATTATGCTAAGCTGAGCCGAGCTGCGCCGAGCTGAGCCGAGATGAGCCGAGCTGCGCGGGACTGCGCCGAACAGAGCTACGCGAGGCGATCGTGTGCTATCTTTAATTCAGCAGCTCAGGGCAAAGCCACTCGGCCGGAGTGGTCCAAGCGATAAGCGCGCAGCGAGATTAGCGCTGACCTTTAAATGGCCTTTCATTAGCGTTTCTAACGTAAAACGCTGATTCTCTTAACGAAAAATAAAATGAAGGAGAACGTTAAGTGATTTGACCCAAAAGCCTGTAATTTAGGGTATATTTTTAGGATGTTGTTAGGCTTCTTGTTTTTTTTAAACAGAACAGATTTTTTGTCAATATGTAAAAATACATATGTACTACAAGCTTTATTTTTTTGAGTATTCGACAAATTAAAAAAATATATCGCTTTCATAATTATAAAATCTAAGTAATGGTTGATAGTGTTTAAATGATTTTTTTTTATAAAATAATATTTTGTGGAAGCAAACTTTCCCACCGTTAATGGATACGTATATTTCCGCGGCCGCCCCACGCCTCCCCGCTGCCCCGCACCGACTGTATTTCAATATTTTTCACACGGAGCGAATTTGAAAGAGTCGAGAATTCGAGATCAGAATTTTTCTGAAAATGGATTTCTTGCCCATTTTCATATTGAATTATTTTAGAGATAGAAATGACTCGTAGATGAGAAAATGTTTTACTACTTTTTCTTGCTTACATTTTACTGAAGACGTATTTCAGCACATTTGAATTTCATGAGAGTACCTTGTTAGATTTTTGTTTGTGAAATGTTAAACGAAATTTTCTCCTCACGTTTTGAGCGATTGTTCACGTTACGTTTAACTTATAAATCATTAACGACGACGTATAAAAGGATCTCCGCGGGTCGTATTAAAAATCCATTTCCTACAATAAGAAAGAATATTTACCTAAAAGATACTTTCAAATGATTCACATTAACAACACGTGCAGTTGGTAATTAATTGCTGAGTCATGATGTCGGGGTTTGCGTGACGAGAGTGAGTCAAGTCCGCCTTGGCTCCCTCCCCCCTGCACTGCCGGCGTTAACCCCCGCCCTAGTCCCACTGTGCACTGGAAATCACGTCATTAGCATTATTGTTGGAGCAAAATAACAGCATTGCGTGACCGTGCAGCCAACGCCTTGCCTTTTAACTTAGTAATAGATGTCTATAAAAATCAAGATAGCGTAACAAACGCAATATCTAATAAATTATTTAAGTTGAGGTAAACTTGATGTGAAAGAAACAGATAAAAGTTCTAAGTTCATCGCGTGAGTAATCTAATCAACAAAAAGCATTGCGATATATTAATTATCCTTGATGTTTAATCGATAGTAGATACTATTATTACCGATGTCTACACGAACAATGAATTGGTTTAATCGCTTCCGCCGCGAGGGAGTCGCGACCTCACTCGACTAATGGTTTTTCTTTGTAATATATTGAAAGGGCGTTATTGGTGAATTACGATTCCAAATTCGTTTTGAACATCGACAAATTACAACTTTTACAGTCAATAAATCGAACATATCTATCATTTTTCGTTCCATAATCATCCGGCAGAAAGAAAATGTAATTGCAATTGTAAATGACTGTGTTTGACTAACAATTTATAATAAACTGTCGTTTAAAAAGATGCGTGCGACATAAAATTTTGTTATAGACAGTGATTCAAATTGGCGGAAACAAACGAGAGTTGCGCTCAAAAATTGGCGGGAGTAGTTGGGCATAAGAAAATGCATGTGGTCAGTATGCTGGTCGTTCCACCAATCACAGGCGAGATGCAACATGACAGTCTCTTCTCATTGGTCCATATCGAGATGTTGACAGATAAAGTATAGTTTATAGTTGGATTTAATTTTTGAAACCAATACGTATTTTATAACCATGTTAATAAAAAATACATTATAGTTTCCGTTATTTTAATTACAAAAAGTTCGTGGCTAAGAAACTTTGACGTGGCCAGTACAATATAGATACTGTTACAAGATAAATGGTTGCTTCGACATCTGATTAATTAATAACTTTTTTCTACGAGGAACTCAATACTGATAGAATCGCAGCGAGATCGTCCTGTTTAATTCATTTTTACTGCACTTTTTAAATGTCATAGTACAAAGTGGTTACATTTATGCTGTGGCTAAAATATCGTTTTTAATTTTTGTGAAATATGGCAGCAGACTTTGACGCAGAGATAATTGTCCGCGAACCAGCGCAACATGCACGACGGCTGACACGTGACAATTTGCACACAATATTGTGAATTAGGTTCCGTCGACCCTTAAAAAAAATCTGCTTATGGTATGTAAAAGGATTAAATTTCCATTTAAACGTATGAATTAAGGTTAAAAAATAAGCATATTTTGTTTATGTGAATGTTTTGATCTCATTTCTAAGTTAATGCCTTAAGTTGTAGGAAGGAAGCAGGTAACATCATATTTGATTGTTATTGTAGAACTTGTAGCAGCTATGTTGCTTAAAGTACTTTAAAGTTTAAGTAGTAATTCTAAGTTTAGCTACACTATCAATTTGTATGAAGTATTGTCGTTGAAAGAAGGACGTAAATTAAATTGCACTTAAAACTTGGTGCGGTAAGAGTTCCGTGAGATTGTGTAAGTTATGACTTAAGCGATGCGAGTTCCCTTTATGTGAACACATAAAACGACGCATGATGTATGGAATACAATAAGGGTATTAAAGGAATGTTACTGTTTCTTGCGAACGTTTTATGAGTGGTTTGTTCTGTTTCCCGAGTTTGAAACATGCCGCG